CATTCATTACGTTTTCCAACGTTTTTCATGAGAATGTGCACCTACTGTAGCTTCCTTTAAATTCATAACCAGATGTGTGACCTCTACTGGGACGAGAAAGGAGATCTTCGTCACAGTGACTGAATCCTGCTCACCGGGATATTCACAGTGTCGAGATGGGTCCTGTGTGCCAACGTCCGCCATGTGCGATGGACGTGCTGACTGTCGAGATAATTCCGACGAGGATATGAACTTCTGCAGAGGTAGTTCCCATTATCCTTTTACCCTTCCCTCCTTCATTGACTCTTTTCCCCTTTTCGTTTATCTATTTTCAAGTTGGGGCTCGTTGTTTGAAGAAAAAGAATGTGTGAAAGGTTTTTTCCGTGTAATTCCTTTTTTTAATTTATTTTAGTTTATGAGAAAAGACCAAATCAACAACCTGAAAGATAGCTTCAATCGGGCCGTAGTTATCTGCATGTGGCCACTTGAGGATGCTTGCTCTCGTCATGCTTGATCTCTAATTCTGACAATACGCACCAGTCGTATTTAGCACCAAGGGGTGCCGGTTGTAAGCTATTGTCGAGGTCTGTAGTGCTTCCAGGACCCGAAACACGACGCACGACGCTTACCGATGGACCCTTGTAGACAGTTGGATAGCCCTGAGCCGCGTAACGGTCTTGTCTACCTTGGGCATATTGGATCCGGCAAACTGACTCCTTCCAGCCATATGCATGCAATTTATAAGGGGCCAATGTCCACCTTTTTGCTCAAAGACCAGCCAACTAGGACGTATTAAGTAGGATAATCCGCGAACTTGACAGTTTGACCCTAACGAGCTACGACCTGTACCCCCCAGAGTGGACGCACCATCGATATTTGTACCTGTACTTGATACGACTGTGATCAGGCCTGAGCTAGCCAGCCTCAACGATGGCACGGAAGGTACCTCTCAACGCGTGATGATTAGCGGCAGCGGATCTGGAAACCTCTACTATTTTCTCTAGTGACGCAGCCCGAAAACCGAAGGTCCAGGAACCGCCTTCATGTTTTGACGAGCGGCGACGAAACAAGTCTTGAGTTGCCCTTCTCTCTGACGCCTCTATGTGGGCTGCGGTGCGGATCAAGGGCAGC